AAGAGGGAATTTTGGGAAATTTGGGGTTGGGGATGGGAAATTTGGGATTTTTGGGGATTTTGGGGATGGGGGATTTGGGGATTTTGGGGGGATTTGGGGATTTTGGGGGGATTTGGGGATTTTGGGGGGTTCCTCACCTGGAGGCCTCCTGGGATCGCTGCTGGTGCTGATCCAGGAGCCGATCCCAGGCCTGGAGCTCCCCGGAGATGCTGAGGGGACAGGACAGGGACAGGTGTGTCCCCAGGTGTGTCCCAATGTCCCCAGGTGTCCCCAGGTGTGTTCCAGGTGTCCCTTCCCCACTCCAGGTGTGTCCCAATGTCCCCAGGTGTGTCCCAAACGTCCCCAAGGTGCCTCAGGTGTGTCCCAGGTGTCCCTTCCCTACTCCAGGTGTGTCTCAGGTGTCCCCAGCTGTGTCCCAATGTCCCCAGGTGTGTCCCAGGTGTGTCCCAATGTCCCCAGGTGTGTCCCAGGTGTGTCCCAAGGTGTGTCTCAGGTGTGTCCCAAATGTCCCCAGGTGTGTCCCAAACGTCCCCAGGTGTGTCCCAGGTGTCCCTTCCCCACTCCAGGTGTGTCCCAGGTGTCCCCAGGTGTGTCCCAGGTGTGTCCCAAACGTCCCCAAGGTGTCTCAGGTGTGTCCCAGGTGTCCCCAGGTGTGTCTCAATCCCCCAGGTGTGTCCCAGGTGCGCCCTCCCTGCTCCAGGTGTGTCCCAAATGTCCCCAGGTGTGTCCCAGGTGTGTCCCAGGTGTCCCCAGCTGTGTCCCAATGTCCCCAGGTGTGTCCCAGGTGTCCCCAAATGTCCCCCAGATGTCCCCAGGTGTGTCCCAGGTGTCCCCAGGTGTCCCCAGGTGTGTCCCAGATGTCCCCAGGTGAGTCCCAGGTGTCCCCAGGTGTCCCCAGGTGTGTCCCCAGGTGTCCCCAGGTGTCCCCAGGTGTCCCCAGGTGTGTCCCGAATGTCCCCAGGTGTGCCTTAGGTGTGTCCCAGGTGTCCCTTCCCCACTCCAGGTGTGTCTCAGGTGTCCCCAGGTGTGTCCCAATGTCCCCAGGTGTGTCCCAGGTGTCCCCAGCTGTGTCTCAGGTGTGTCTCAATCCCCCAGGTGTGTCCCAGGTGCGCCCTCCCTGCTCCAGGTGTGTCCCAAATGTCCCCAGGTGTGTCTCAGGTGTGCCTTGACATCCCCAGGTGTGTCCCAGATGTCCCCCAGGTGTGTCCCAAATGTCCCCAAGGTGCCTCAGGTGTGTCCCAGGTGTCCCTTCCCCACTCCAGCTGTGTCCCAGGTGTCCCAGGTGTGTCCCCAGGTGTGTCCCAATGTCCCCAGGTGTGTCCCAGGTGTCCCCAAATGTCCCCCAGATGTCCCCAGGTGTGTCCCAGGTGTCCCCAGGTGTCCCCAGGTGTGTCCCAGATGTCCCCAGGTGAGTCCCAGGTGTCCCCAGGTGTCCCCAGGTGTGTCCCCAGGTGTCCCCAGGTGTCCCCAGGTGTCCCCAGGTGTGTCTCAGGTGTCCCCAGGTGTCCCCAGGTGTCCCCACCTGGCTATGCGCTCCTTCATCTGCACCACGGACGCCTCCGTGGCCGAATCCAGGGAATCCCTGCGGAAAAGGACCCAAAAAACTCCAAAAGAATTCCCAAATTTTGGGGCAAATCCAGAGAAAACCAAAAAAATTCCCAAATTTCGGGGCAAATCCAGCCAAAATTCCCAAATTTTGGGGCAAATCCAGCCAAAATTCCCAAATTTTGGGACAAATCCAGCCAAAATTCCCAAATTTTGGGGCAAATCCAGCCAAAATTCCCAAATTTCGGGGCAAATCCAGCAAAAACCCCAAATTTCGGGACAAATCCAGCCAAAATTCCCAAAAGGACCCAAAAAATTCCAAAAGAATTCCCAAATTTTGGGGCAAATCAAGAGAAAACCAAAAAATCCCCAAATTTCGGGGCAAATCCAGCCAAAATTCCCCAAATTTCGGGGCAAATCCAGCCAAAATTCCCAAATTTCGGGGCAAATCCAGCCAAAATTCCCAAATTTTGGGGCAAATCCAGCCAAAATCCCCAAATTTCGGGGCAAATCCAGCCAAAATTCCCAAATTTCAGGACAAATCCAGCCAAAATTCCCAAAAGGACCGAAAAAATTCCAAAAGAATTCCCAAATTTTGGGGCAAATCCAGAGAAAACCCAAAAAATCCCCAAATTTCAGGGCAAATCCAGCCAAAATCCCCAAATTTCGGGGCAAATCCAACCAAAATTCCCCAAATTTCGGGGCAAATCCAGCCAAAATTCCCAAATTTCGGGGCAAATCCAGCCAAAATTCCCAAATTTCGGGACAAATCCAGCCAAAATTCCCAAATTTCGGGGCAAATCCAACCAAAATTCCCCAAATTTTGGGGCAAATCCAGCCAAAATTCCCAAATTTCGGGGCAAATCCAGCCAAAATCCCCAAATTTCGGGACAAATCCAGCCAAAATTTCCAAAAGGACCAAAAAAATTCCAAAAAATTCCCAAATTTTGGGGCAAATCCAGAGAAAACCCCAAAAATTCCCAAATTTCGGGGCAAATCCAGCCAAAATCCCCAAATTTCAGGGCAAATCCAGCCAAAATTCCCAAAAGGACCCAAAAAATTCCAAAAAATCCCCAAATTTCAGGGCAAATTCCCAAATTTTGGGGCAAATCCAGCCAAAATCCCCACAGGAAAAGCTCCGGGATTGCCTCAAAACCCATCCCCAAATTCCCAATTTTTTTTTTTTGGGGATTTCCGTGGATTTTTGGCCCCTCCCAGCCTGGAAATTCCCAAATTTTGGGGGATTTTGCCCCAAATCCTGACCCCGGGGGCGGCTCCACGCAATCCTCCAGGGTCCCATCCAGGAGCAGCCTCTGGAGCAGCCGCCGGAATTCCTCGGTTTTTACCTGGACTGGGGGGGAAAAAACCAGGATTAGAAACCCCCCCTGTAATTAATTAGTTCCTAATTAATTAGCTGTTAATTAATTTTGCGGGATTTAGGGATTTGCCCTCGTTTTCCTGATGGTTTTTGGGCGAATTCCTGAATTTTTGAGGAGTCTGGAGGAGCCAGGAATCCCTCAGGGCTTTTTTTTTTTTTGCTGTTCCTCCCCCTAATTAATTACTGATTAATTATCAATTAGTTATTAATTATTAATGTTGTTTATTAGTTATTTCGTAGTTTATTAATTATTAATGAATTCCATTTTCTCTTTTTTTTGGGCCAAAATTCCCAAATTTCTTGGGAATCAGGGGCCTGCCCTGACCCTCCCCCAATTAACCATCATCTAATGATTAATTAACTCTTAATTATTATTAATTAATTCAATTATTTTCTCATGGAATTTAAGGATCAACCGTTTATGGTCATTTCCCGCCTTTTTTTTTTGTTTTTTTTACCCAAACTCCCCAAATTTTTTTTGGGAATTGGGAGCATCCAGGACCATTTTTGACCCCCCCCAGTCAGTTAATTATTAATT